TCGGATGATCCTCGTTACATTGGAACTCAGGAGTGCACTAGTGCCCAGCTTGGCCAAAGCAGCGTTGTATAGTTCCTGGTTATCGCTATGGGCGGTGGTGAGAAAGCTGCCCGTGAAGAAAGCCTGCACCGTCGTCGCCGAGAAATACTTCAGGATATACAGTGCAGTCTCTGCGAGGATGTTGCCAGCTCCCTGGTTGAATACAAAAAGAGTATAAGCCATCGCTCCCAGATCGTACTTCTCCATGAACCCAGCCCAAGATAGCAGCAAATCGCTGGGAACCGGAGTCGGCAGACCAAAGCCGTTTTCGAGGTATGGGTATCTGGCAAGCTGGTCTTCATAAGCCAACAATGCAGCTGTGAGATTGCCTTGGCCGAGACTTTGGCCGCTCACAACGGCGGCATTTGCGAAATCGGCGAATACGGCATCGCTCGCGCCTGTGCCGCCCCACGGTGTAAGAGGTATGTTGAAGTAGCCGAAGTAGTCCGTGACGATAGAGCTGTTGCCGAAGATGACGACTCCGTAGTCAAAGGTTTTGTGGGTCAATGGATCGACGTAGGTGTTTACATGGCCGCCCAGTCGGTCCTCCCTCTCGATCAGTACGACACTCTTTCCCATCTGCTGCAGTCTGATGGCAGAATATGTCCCGCTTGAGCCGCCGCCGATGATGCAGACATCCCGTTCGATAGTCTCCGTGTTAGTTAGTGGTGAGTAACTGCCGAAGGATCGTGCAACCCATGCCAATGATGACATTAAGAAGCAGAGCGATGTATTGGGAGACATCGCGGAGGCGCCTTGGTCGTTCAGTACTGTGCGCCTAGCTTTCGAGCTGATGAGCCAAGATGCCAAGGGATCAAGTATCCCGGTATGACAGGGTAAGCGATCTTGAGCTCTAAATTTTGCGTGAAGACGGTAGAGGACGAAGAGCGAAAGGCAGTGATATATGAGGACTTGCAATCCGTGATAAAGCCAGCCCTGTGGAAGGCGATGGCCAAGAGTGACAGGCCATATGCAGGTGGAGGGTCAGCAAAAGGGTCGTAAGACCGCAACGCTTCTTGGGGTTGATGATGTGGCCGCCCGCGTGTGCCGCTGCACTGAGTCTCTGAGCTCGACGAACGGAAGAGCGTCTGACTTTGGACGACAGGCCCGTTTAGATGAGTTTCTCCATGGTAGGAGGTACGGTTCTGCGAACGTCCCCCAATCGTATACCTATTATTGGCAGTGCTCCTCCGCTGCAGGAGACAGCAGACCCAACCTAGTAGCTGTGAGAGAAAGCGTGGCGCCCGTGATGGTGCGTTAGCTGATGAAGGGTGGCCTTTGACCGTCTGACGCCCCGCGAGCGAGCAGTCTCGACGAACCGAAGTGCGCCTGTGAACATGGGCGCACCGAAGCCAAAGGCCGTACTGCAGGAATTAGTAGGTTAGAAAGCTTTAGGCGTCAGCTCAGCGGACGGCTCGTTTCCCAACTGGGCAATCGTCAGATGCAGCACGAGGCAGCGTCGGTCATCAGGGAAGGGCCTCGAGCTCGGAAATTTTGTCCACGGAACGTTACCCAGCTCCGCAAGAAGCCTGGCGGCCAATACGGTACGGTACCCTCGTACTGCCTTCAGGTTGTACAGGTTTGTGGCGCTCCCCTGCAGTGGAGGGGGTCAAGTGTCGCCCAGGCCGCTTACATGAGTAGACAACCTGGCCATGAAGAGTACGGCTGACAGTATGAGGCTGTGAGCTTGTGGTAGGCTACCTCGCCTAAAAACCCGGCCTGCACGAGCACGAACGTGAGTTAGGTAGGTACGGAGGTAAAATTGCAGCTGAGACGGCAGCGAGCACGCACATCCGGGTTTCCTCGGTAGCGCAAAAGATCCGACGCGGAGACAGAGAATGGTGCAGTATGTATTGCGAGGCGTCACGCATAGTGTCAGTGTGCAGAGCATGTATGCACACGTGTTCTGTAAGTCATGGGCACCAAGTCGCGAAGCCTGACTGCAGCAGTGCACACACTGAGCTTACTTTGCATTGAAGGCCAAGGGCGCAAGGCCACCCAAGGGCATCGAGAAACACAGCGAACATGTGAGCGTGCAGTGGCAACAAGTGGTCTGACACGGGAAGAAACAACGGCTCTCCAATGATGGATCGTGTACGTACGCCAGCCTTCAGCAACAGTGGTGTTAACGACCATTCGCGGCATCAGCACAAAGCTTCTGTGCCATCCACCATCCAAAAAGCTGCGGTATGCATGACAATGTAGAATCGAACACCACAACCTTTGCGTTTTTTCGCCTGGAATAAGTCTTGCATGGTGTTGCAGACCAAACAAGACATAACCGTGGTACTGAGCACAATGACAGCACACCAGCCTGATGTTGCGATCGCAGCCAAGGTGTCCGTCGCGGGTAGTACTTGCCTTGGAGTCCCCATCATTCCGTTTCATGATTTCGCAGCCACACGCGATGGCATCCTTGTCAGCCTATATGATGTCCCAAACATCCTCAGCAGCGTGGCAGAACTTGCTGCACGCCACGCTTGCGCTCAAGCTGTAGTTGCTGATGCTGATGGAGTCGTCCTTGAATTGGTCCGCGAATGTATCCGCACCTTTGGCCATCGCGCCCACGAAGACGCAGATGCTCTCCTTCGGCCCGAGGTCTTGCACGTAGTCGCGGACACGCACGACGGGCGCATCGAATGAGAGTGTGACCTTGCGGCAGTTCGGCGGCAAGTGGTCGGTGATCGGGTTGCGGATGACCTTAAGCAGCTTCTCCGGCGATGAGGTGGAGCGGATGGAGAGGTTGTGCAGGAGCTGGACCATGAGACCCGCAAAACGCTTGAAGGTACGCGGGATGCGAACGGTCGGGCTGACCTCGATGAGAACGCCCTTTGCGGTGTGGATGTAGATCTGCAGCTTGCCGGCCTTGTTGACGGGCGAGTCCAGGAGGGTGAGCAAGCACTGATGCGTGATGTCCGGCCGCGCATCGCTGATGTCGCGGTTCATCTTGCGCATCACGCCGATGTGCTCGTCGCTGTTGAGCAGCGAGTACTTGGCCGCATCTTTGCCGTTCTGCCCGCCGCGCCCACCTGGACCTCCGTGTGACGCCTTGTACGTCTCCAAGCTCGCGTTTGACAGCACCACGATCATCCGCTTCGTGTCCTTGTCGCTTGATGGGATCGGGTTGGCTTGCTCCGCTACCAGTTGAGGGAGGCTGGGCGGTGGGAGGGACTGCGTCTGGGTTCCTGCAATGTTGACAGGGCGATGGTCAGCCATTGCAAAGACCTTGTTGAAAGGCGATGCTCGAGGGAGGGAGTGGTGGTAAAAGGTGCTGGTTGCGCAGCAGAAAGGAAGGTTGGGAATGGTAACCAGGAGCATCAAGTCTCGGCGTAACACCGACGCGGGCGGTGAGCTGTGCGGCAGCGCGCATGAGGGGCAGCAACTCGAAGCAACACGAAAATCTCTCGGGTGACTGACTGATCCTCTTAGTATCTCTACCACTCGACGACGGTCTCCTGCCGATGTAGTCGGCCTCCGCAGATGCCTCCAGCAGATCCTTCTCGAGCTTCCCTCCTTCTGGCGACGACATTGCGACGATACTGCAGAGTCTGCGGGACTTGGACGAGTACTCGAACGGGAAGAAGCAAAGACCCTCTGCGCCTGGTTGGAGTCGCAGACCTCTATCACGGATGTTGTGATCGTGTTAAGATATTTATTGTACCGAAGTGTTGGAGATCAAAGGGCAGAGAGCAAAAGAGGGACAACAATATAAGCAGCTCAGCGAGTTTAGTCAGGAGCACCTGCACTCTCCCCGGCGCCTCGGCAGTGCCACGGAGGAATACATGCCGCGCTATAGATATGTTCCGACGACAACCCGCTCTTCTATGCTCAATTATCAAAGGCACGGTATGTGATCAACTGTCGATCGAATGGCACAAGTGGTTCCATTGTATCACGCTGCCAATCTGAACCTTGGATTTCCGTCTCCCAAAGCAACTATCTCCTCTTCTGTCAACCCTTCCATCACCTCCATCACCGCATCTCGGTCTCCGACTCTCCGTTCGCCCTCTCAACGTTCTCACGACAGAGTAGAGTCTAGACTCTTGACAAACAAGAGCCTATAGATGAAACAGTCTACAGCGACCAGTGCTGTCCTCACGGCATGACCGCGAATGAAGCGCGCCCTTCCAGCGGTGGGGTGTATGTGACGAAGGGCAGTGAGACGGCTGCTTGGGATTTCTCGCTGTTTAAATCGAGGTCCTTGAGGCCATAGAGGCGAGCGTTGCCCACGTTGACCTGCAAGTATGGCCAGAGAACCATACCCTGTCGAGGAAGCTCAGCATCTACAGTAAGGTAGCATAACGACGGGCACGATGTGCCAGTCAAGCTTCCGCACCAGCCTGCGTTCTTTGACTCGGTCGATCTCGCCATATCCGCCCTCGTACGCTTTTGAACTTAGGAACTATCGTTCTCGCACGCTTTCCTTGTCGGCCATACATGATGATATTGAAGGAGCAGTGCCGCCTTCTCGGCACTCTCTTGATGTTCGATGGCTTGTAGACTAGGAAGTGAACTCAGCCCACGTCGCCTACCTATCACCCATAGGTCTGCGGCGAACTCCAGACACCAGGTAAGATGTATTCAAGCCGGACTGAAGCTATTACTCGATGTATGCACCCTCAACAGAGGACGCAGCAGTGCCTGGTGTCCGTTGCCGAACTCCAGATCGCCGTGGTGACGGCTGGGTGACGTTGGCAGAATTTTTGCAGTCTGGTGGGCCCCTAAGGACTGCAAGACCTCGACAATTGACCATTACTCCCGCCGTGCATATGGAGTAGCTACGAGCAAACAGATGCCTTGAGGCTTGAGCATGCGGTGCAGACGGCGCTATCGGTTGACAGTCATGAGAGACTGGTCTAGGTCACAGAAGGTCGGAGATTCGTTTGGTAAAGCCGGCGGATTCTCGGGCTTGCGTGCTAACACACTACATATATTACACGTCAATCATGTAACAATCACGTGCTGCGATGTCGGAGTGGTTAACGAGTCAGACTTGAAATCTGATGCCTTCGGGCGCGCAGGGTGAGTGCCGAAAGTCAACGCTATGTCTGCCTCGATACTAATAGAATGCAGTTCGAATCCTGTTCGCAGCGACGCATTTTTGCCTGAACTATATGTATTTGTCTCGCCTGTAGACCTCTGTGGACTACCTAGATATCCTCTTTTGGCCCGCGGAAGCTATACAATTTCAGCGTGCCGCACGAGAGAGACTGGAAACTTTCCAGTAACTCATCGGTACCAATGTTCTAAGTAGTTAGGACTCAGGAAGCATACCGGTGTTTCGCCTATGAGACATCGACGACAATGGTGGCATAGTCGCAAGGCAAATGTTGTGGCGCGACATGCTTACGTAATGTTACACTGGCGGCCTCGCGTTTGCTCCATGTACTAGTAACGTACATAAGGGCCGCGTCTTTTCCCGGTGCCGCCACTATAACACCAGTTGACCCAGTGTTCCAGACCATTCATGGCGCCTTCGGCTAGCTCGCCGATCTCCCAAAGCCGAACGGCAATTCGCTCTCCGTCAACACACATCCATGGCCACCATTATCCCCCGGGTGGCGAACTCGGCCCGGAACCACGCAGCAAAGGCGTGGATAGCCTGATCGTACGGTCCGACAGCTGCGGCCATAAGGCCCAGCTCTTTCAGGTTGTTGAGCTCCAGCATGTCGTTAAGGCGGTATTCCTGACAGTTGCTGCACAGTCGTGATCATGCCAGTGTTCCGGTCGAGAAGGGGAACGGTGCTCCAGAATAGTACAACCTTGCGAAGATAGATGCACTTTTGCATGAGCTCGACGTCGTTATTCGGAGCGTCTGTGCCAAGCGGGCATGTGGGAAAAAGCCAAAGTACGGGAATGCGAGCGACTGGACTGCACCGTACCCGTTTGCCATCGCTGCGCCATCGCGGATAGTGCGGAAGTTGAGTGAACCCGGCCAGTCCTGGAACTTGTCGTTGCCCGGGCCCCTGTGAATCTAGAAGGTAGCACGCTTGACATTGACCAGCAATGCCTTAAGGCGGAGCTTGCGATCGCCGGCGTAGGCTACTTCCGGTAGGGCGATAGCAGTAGGAGCTTGGCCGTGTTTGCCGGGTAGGAAGACTTTGATAGTGGACGGCCAGGTGACTTCGTCCAGTACGAGCTCACGGAACTCAGTAGGTAGATTCATGAGGTTGAAGTAGGTCTTTCTCTGCCACTCAGAGCACTTGGCTTGTTCCTCTCCTCGGTCATGTAGGCGCCATTGTATAGGACGACCCGGCAAGAGCTCCGCATCAATGGCAAAACGCCCGATTGACTGACCTTCTCGCCCACTGCTTTGCGGCATATGAAGGCGTACGAGAAGTACATCTTCCTGTGTACTGGTGGAAGGGCTAGGGGAGTATCCTGCTCTCCCTCACACACGGCGGTCTTGGCTTCTTCTATACTCCCAGATTTTTTGGGGAGCAGAAAGGTGCAAGAAGTGGCAAGGACAGAGCCATAGAGCGTAGATACCTTCACCTTCCAGGGTTGAACAAGGGAAGAGTCAGAACAGGTGGGTTTTGAGAAGCTTGAATCGCCAGGAGTATATGCAGTATGACTGTGTCAGCTGGCCAGGTTGATGTCGCCAGGAGTGCATTTGAGCACCGGTAGTACAGCGAACCTTATCCGAAGTGGGTGGGTGCGTACGTGGTGTGCAGCAGGCGTGTTGGGACTGTGGGTGTCAAGGAGAGATCGGGGCGGTCACGCGGTGGCCGCCCAACTCCGCGCGCCATCTCACTTCAGCCAGCCACCGCCCCTAACGACAGGTCACCAGCTGCAGCTATACGCAGTGCACTACTACTGTTCTGTCACAGGCGGTGGCCGTGGCCGTATAATACGAAATGTGAGCCCCAGGTTTCTCCACTGTCCTCCCGTGCCTTCTCTTCTCCCTTGTAAGTTGTAGAGTGCTACCACCACCCTAGCAGCCGCCGGCACAGCATGGGAAAGAAACGCCTGATTGTCGCCTGTGATGGCACATGGGTCGTAAGTCTGCACTTTCCGCTCAGCCTAGCATGATAGCATCGCTTTGGCTGCCTAACCCGAACCGCAGGACAGTGACAATGGTTTCCAACGCGACTCCTGGTTGCCGTGGAAGACCGGTGGCAGCCTTGCCACTCCCTCGAATGTATCCCGCCTATGCAGAGCTTTGCTGCCACGCTCCGATGATGGTATACCGCAAATCGTCTACTACCAAGCCGGCTTGGGCAGCCAGAACAACATCTACTCTCACTTCATCGGCGGTTACCTTGGCTCGGGAATCAGTGAGAACATCAGGGAGGCTTACGCCTTCATATGTAGCGTAAGCCCTAAGCTTGAGTTTGAGTGCGCACGAGGATTCCCATTGACCAGAGACAACAGAACTACGAGGAAGGCGATGAGATCTACCTGGTTGGCTTCTCGAGAGGTGCTTTTACGGCGAGAAGTGTAGGTGCCTTCATTGCAGAAGTTGGTCTACTCACTGCCGTCGGTCTAGATTCATTCTATCCTATCTTCAAGGACTGGGAGAACCAGGTCGACACTAAGTACAAGCCGCAATACGGGTCAAGCGCATGGCCTGTCAGAAGACCAAGCTTCAACGATCCCAGCTACATGCCCAAGTTGGTCGAGGTAACGTTGCCTGCGCACGCACCTCAATGTGTATATGTACGCTGAGACCACCGTAGGCCGGACTCACAACACCCAACATCCCCATCAAAGCGATCGCGGTTTGGGACACGGTTGGCACGCTTGGTGTACCCGAGATTGACGTACTAGGCCTTAAGCTCTTCGACTCCACTCACAGGGAGTACTCGTTCGTCAATACCGAGGTCCCTGCAAACCTGGAGTATGCCTATCAGGCCCTCGCGCTAGACGAGGAGCGCAAGACCTTCTCGCCTACTGTCTGGGAGTCGCCGAAGCCGGGCGCCCCATCCAGCCTACAGATCCTGAAGCAATGCTGGTTCCCGGGTGTGCACAGCAACATTGGTGGCGGTTACCAGGACACTTCGATGGCGGACATCACCCTTGCCTGGATGGTGTCGCAGCTGCAGAGGCATCTCACCTTCAATCCGAACTACATCCTGCTGCAGCAGAAGCAGAACGAGAAGTTCTACGTCGACCACAACGTCCCTGTGCGCTCATGGGCCATGGGTCAGATCTGGAAATCAGATGCTGGTGTGGTGAACACTCTGACAGGCCGGCAGGCAAGGACTCCTGGCGAATACCATGCCACGGACCCGATCACTGGCAAGCAGCTAGCAAGGAAGCTGACCAATACACGCGAGTTCGTGCACCCTTCTGTTCGGTATAGGATCCAGCAACATGGTCTCGGTCTCGCCACTTCTGATGATGATCCCGGCAAAGGTAGCTACAACCCGATCGCGTTGGATGGTTGGACGTACTGTCCGCCTGGTGAGCCGTGGCGGGACAAGGATCTGCATTTCGACGAAAGCGCCGATAGTTGGGACCATTGTGGCAAGTGGATCATGCAAAGACAAAACGGCGATGCCACGTTTATCGTCGAAGAGCAAGTGGAGAAGGGCAGTGAGGAGGCGAAGCTGATGGACGCATGGCCTGGCGTTGCGGAGAAAGTCTTGGATGGAGACGGGCATTGAATGTAGCCGACCCGTGTCACGAAGAGCACTTTGGAGAACACAAACACCTCAATTACCTCTCTGTGGTTAGTGGAGTCAGTCAACAGTCCACTCGTGCTCGAAGCGCAGGCGCGTTGTACCGGGGCTGGGGAAGGTTGCTGGGGTTCCTGAAGGTCATCAGGCGGAGGTGTGGGAGAGTTAGGGTATCTTGTGTCGCTATCATAACACATAACATCATCCACCACCCAAGTCCTGTGACACCTCCGAACGCTTCCGCTGCCGCTCGCAGCCCTTCGTAATAGCACCATGCTTCGTAGGATCTCACGGCAGCCTATGAGGAAATGTTTTGCTCACAATCCACCGCCACCCATGCCCATGCCACCACCCATGCCCATACCGCCCATGCCCATGCCGCCCATGCCCATGCCACCCATGCCCATGCCACCGCCCATCATATCTCCCAGAAGCAACCCTCCCATCAAGCCACCGCCCAGCGCGAGCGGCATGCCGTACCCACCTCCGTAGCCGTAGCCATACGGTCTGCTGTACGCGCCCTGCGGCCGGACGTAACGCGCATTCGGAGTCGAGTAGATGCCGCTGGAGCCGTACGGGTTGTAGCCATACCCTCCGCCGCCGTATCCTCCATAGTTGCCCTGCGACGAAGACGGCTCGATGTAGATGTCCTTGCCCTGGTGGTCCTTCCCAATGAGCTGCGGCTTGCCCGTCTGCTCCGCCTTCGCCATCGCCTGCCGGACTTTGAGATGTTGCTCATACAGCCTCTGCTCCTCCTCGGCACGCTTCTGACGCTCCTGCACACGCTCCTCGTGCGTGGAGCCGGTCATCTTATCTTTCAGCTTGCGACCGAAGCCCGGCTTCTTGCCCTTGTCGGCGTCAGGGCGCGGCGGGAGCTCAGCGGTGTGAGAGCTCGAGGATGAAGCTCCTGTGTGGTGGTCATGGTCATCCTCTTCGTCCGTGTGCTCAGCCATAATGTCGGCCTTACTTTGGGGACGCCCACGACCCAAGCTCTCTTGCTCGACGCGCTCCCTCTCCTCGCCGCTCAGCGTGCGCAGGTACTGCTCATCGTCGTATGGGTGGGTCCATATGCTGCGCGGTGGGTCGGCGGTAGTGTCGACGAAGAACTGGTGCTGTGAGTCGGCGTCGTATGTGCGGACCCAGCCCTTTGGGAGTGGGCGTAGCTCGTCCTCCATTGAGCGGCGGTGGGTCATGGGAATGCGCTGGCTGGATGACGCGCCCGGAACGCCGAGGTGGCCATTGTTGGAGCTGCTGGCGGTTGGTCGCGAGGAGGAGGAGCCGGTTGCCTCGTTGTAGGTGGGCGGCGGTTGGCTTGGGATCTTGGAGTCTGCCATGGTCGCGGCGTCTGGTGAGGTGTTGGTCGGGGGTTATTCGAGTCCTGAGGGTGATGCACTGATGATATCGAGGACGCGGAAAGGTGGAACGTGTTCACGTCGCAGCAAAGTGACAAGAAGATTGAAGGCAACTTTGCT